GGGGCTCTCTTTTGTCACAAATAAGAAGAATATTTCTGGGCGAAGAGGATGTGCTTCCACGAAAATCATAACGTGACGTATTTGAAATTGCAAGTAGACCACACTAGCACATAGCCTACTATAGAGTTCGACTCAGATGATGACCGGAGGGCGATTAGAATAGTAGGATTATAGGTTATGTAAGTCGAAGTCACACGGTGACAATAGCCATCATACATGATTGTTACATTCCCATTCCACAACATAGGTATTTGTAAGCGTATAGAAATGGAAAACCTTTAGTCATAACATCGATTCGTAGCATTATTATTTTATGATCGGAGCTAGTAAGATAGCCTCATATTCTCTGCAACCTCTCCTATCTGCACATCTTTCATTTGCTTCTCGTTGGGGTATCTCCACGAAACTGCGCACTCGCTTTAGCTAGCAGTGGCAAGTCCCTCACGCTCGGCCTTGGCCCTTTCCCTCTTAGCGCGAGAGATCTTCAGGGACAGCCTGACGGGGTCGGCACCTGGCGTCTCAAAGATGTTATCGATCTCCTCCAAACTGAGCTTGCTCGTCTCGGGGAAGAGGAAGTAGGCAATGACCAGCTGCACGGCGTTGTACACGATGTAGATGACCCAGATCTTGTAGCCGACCTTCTGGATGCCGACGCTGATGCCGTACGTCTGGACGACGCCGGCGGCGCCCTGGAAGGCATTGTAGAAACCCATGCCCTTGGCTCGGAGGGGCAGGGACAGGATCTCGACGGGGTACAGGTTGTGCATGGTGGCGATCATGGAGGCGGAGCAGATCTGGAAGATGTAGTACCAGACGACGGTCAGAACGGCCGAGGCCTTGGTCTCGTGCTCCGCGTACTGCCACGAGGTGATGGTCACGGCGGTCTGGATGAGGACGAACGAGATCAGGCCACCGAAGATGAGGGTACGTCTCCGGAAGATGTCGATGAGCCAGGCGCCGAAGGCTGTGAAAACGAAGTACACGCAGGTCAGGCCCAGGTTGATGCCTAGCTGGTCGAGAGACTTGGTGATGCCGACGGTGTTGAGCGCTGGAGAGAGGTAGTAGCCAATGACGCCGCCGCCGTTCCACTGCTGGAAGATGGAGTAGATGCATAGGATTAGGGTTCTGTAGCGGACGGTCTTGGTGAAGAAGACACGGTAGTCGTAGGCGGCGCGGACACCGGCACGAGTAGTCTCGAGTGATTCTTCGATCTGCTGGATGACAAGTGGTACGATGGGCGAGTCGACGTCGTTGTTTGTGGTCATGTATTTGGCGACCACTCGTCGGGCCTCCTCTGGCTTGTTCTTGAGAACGAGATAACGGGGCGATTCGGGGCACCAGAAGTAGATGAGCGAGCAGACGAGGAAGGGAAAGAGTGCCTCTAGGATCAGTGGAGTGCGCCACTGCCAATTGCTGTTCCATTTGGTGAAGCCCATCATGGCACCAGTCATGGCGAGAGAACCGACCTGGAAGCAGGCACCGAAGATACCGACCAGGCGCCCGCGAAGATGAACAGGCGCGATCTCAGCCATATATTGAGGAGCCGAGCACAGGGAAGTACCAAATCCAAGAAGGAATCGGCCTACCATGAAGCAAGCCAGGTTGGGTGAGAGACCCTGGAGTAGGGCCGCGATGATGACGATAAAGTTGCCAAGGAAGTTAATGCCACGACGGCCGATAACATCAGCGAGGGCCAGGAATGGAGCACCGACGAAGTTACCAATCAGCATGAGGGCGTTGATGGTGCCGATAACAACACCGGCATTGCCAAAGTTGAAGTACTCGTGCCATGTTTCGAACGAGTTGATACCGCCGATTACGCCCCAGTCGACGCCATATCCGGCTTGGTTGAAGCCCATGACCACCATGATCAGGACAATGCGGACGCCGGTCATGGAGCGGAACTGTAGGGACTCGGCGGAGATGCGCATGAGATCTTCCTCGCTGATTCGTTGGGCGACGACTTCGTCAACGGCGACGCCGAGCTTGTTGGCCTCGGCGACATCGTCATGGTGGACGACGGCGCCGACAGTCTTGGTCTCCTCGAGACGAGACATCCTTCTGTGGTTCTTGTTCGGAGGGGAAGAGCCTATGTCGAACAATCAAAAATGGAGACCCAGGGGGTTGTATTAGACTCTGGTGAGAACCAGTTGGATGGGATGATGGTGAGCCTGCAGGAGGATGACAGACGACGATGGAGGGCCAAGATATATAGATACTGATGCTCTGCTGTATGCACTAGTCTAGCCTCGATATACGACACGACCCCGGCTTGCCTCGTGGTGGTGGTGGTGGTGAAGGGATCATCTCCACCAGTTCGGTCTGGCCTTCCGGGGCTAACTTAGCTCGACCCCGTCTGTCCTGTAGTATGCAGCAGCCCTTGGCTGATCTCTCACCACCACAGCGAAGAAGTCAGTTACCGCACAGGGAGATAGACAGGGTAACGATGTGGGTGACCGGCGGGTGGCCTGTTTTGCAGACTTCTCTTGCAGAGTTCCAGCCGGGACTAGGCTCTCATCTCCCCGGACTATGCCCCTGTATGGCTAGATCTTGCTCGCGAAATGCTCTACCTGGCCCTAGGAGCGTATGGCCGGTGAGAAGCCTGCGGGTCGAGCATATCACCCGTCGTGATTGGGCCGGAGCCGCGGCTATCAGTGGTCAGTTGGGGAGGCATACGCAGTATGGTAAATCTGTCTGTCTGTGGGGAAACGTACGGAGGGAGGAGCTCGAAGTGGAGAAGAAACACCCAAAAAAACGAGGCCATTCCGCATCTTCATGATGTGCTCCCCCTGGCTCCTTGATTTTTCCTTCCACTCACGGGCCTTACTTCAGGCCTGCGGGGCCCCAATTCACCCCCAATCATCCCCCGTGACAGCTCCATGAGTCCCCCGACCTCGACTGGCTACAGCACCTTTAGCCGGCATTAGCCAGCGTTCGCTTGACTTGTGCGCCAGTAGCATTTTAGTGTGCGGTAGTATCACGCCTGCGCCTGCACCACTCTTCCCGTCGCTTGTTTTCTAAATACCCGATGGATCTCTACTGAGCACTGGGCGGCGGGCCAATTGCCGGCTTCTAAACCGGGGTGGAAGTGATAAAGTCGATCAGATTCCCCCAGTTGCACATGCAAGAGACGCTATTCAATGATGGAATGTGAGGAAAGGGCCCTGCTCGTGCGCACCTTCCCCAGCTCGAGCTCCTTCCTGCCACAACGGTCCCGGGATTGCGGTACGGCTGCCGTCTCGGTTCCAGCGCCATGGATCACAAAGGCAAGGTGCGGGCCCCTGAGCAACCCACCTCCGGCCCACTCCCGGGTCAGGAGGTCTCTTCTCCCTCCTCCCTCATGACGAGCATAGATGCTGCGGATGGCGAGCCCGCTGTGCCCCCCGGCGCCGCCCACCATCAACAGCACAACAACAACAAGCACCTGCAGCTTCACTACGGAGCCCCCGCCAGCCAGTGGGCGGCTGCTCTGCCCATCGGCAATGGCCGGCTCGGTGCCATGGTCCACGGCCGAACCACCACCGAGCTGCTGCAGCTCAACGAGGATTCTGTGTGGTACGGTGGCCCCCAGGACCGATCTCCTCGTGATGCTCTCCGGAATCTACCCCTGCTGCGACAGCTGATCCGCCAGGAACGCCATGCTGAGGCCGAGGAGCTCATCCGTACCGCCTTCTTCGCCACTCCGGCGAGCATGCGGCACTATGAGCCCCTGGGCACTTGCACTATCGAATTCGGCCATGCCAGCGAGGGCGTCACCGGTTACAGCAGGTCGTTAGATTTGTCAAATGCCGTCTGTACTGCTAGATACCGGTATACAGATGAGGCTGCAGGCGACGGCGGACTCGACGTCTGCCGGCAGATGATTGCCAGCTTTCCGGATCAAGTACTAGCCCTCAGAGTCACCTCCAGTCGGAAGACCAGGTCCGTCATCAGGCTGGACCGAGTGAGCGAAATCGAATGGGAGACGAACGAGTATTTGGACAGTATCGAAACGATCGATGGTCGGATTGTACTACAAGCGACACCCGGTGGCCGGAATAGTAACCAGCTCGCTATTGTCCTCGGAGTCACCTGCGACGATGTGGCCAGCGGTGGCTCAGTCGAAGCTCTAGGCAATTGTCTAATTGTCAACTCGGCATCGTACACTATCGCAATTGCAGCCCAGACGACATATAGGGAAAATGATCCGGTACAGAAGGCAATTATCAACGTTGATGGAGCACTCTCCCAACCATGGGAGGAGCTCCTAACTCGCCACATTACGGACTACCAAGGCCTCTTTGGAAGAATGGGATTACGAATGTGGCCGGATGCCAACGACATCCCGACAGACGAGCGGATCAAGGACAATCGGGACCCGGGCTTGATCGCTCTGTATTCGAACTACGGCCGCTATCTCTTAATCTCATCGAGTAGAGACTCGCCGAGTCCCCTACCGGCAAATCTGCAGGGCATATGGAGCCCGTCCTTTGCGCCTCCGTGGGGATCAAAGTATACCATCAACATCAACATCCAGATGAATTACTGGCCAGTGAGCGCAAGCAACCTGTTCGAATGTTCATTGCCGCTGGTGGACTTGCTGGAGCGGATCGCTGAGAGAGGAAAGAAGACGGCTAAAGCAATGTACGCTTGCCGCGGCTGGTGTGCACATCACAATACAGATATCTGGGCCGATACCGACCCGCAAGACCGATGGATGCCGTCGACGATATGGCCACTTGGCGGTGCGTGGTTATGTATCGACATGATGAAGCTGTTGAAAGAACGATATGATCCGGGATTACACGAACGTCTAGCGCCTGTACTCGAAGGGTGCGTCGAGTTCTTGCTAGACTTTCTCATCCCATCGCAGTGCGGAAGATATCTTGTGACGAATCCATCCCTGTCGCCTGAGAATACGTTCATCTCCGAGGACGGCAAGCCTGGTATACTGTGCGAGGGGTCTACGATGGATACCACTATTGTCGGCATGGTCTTCAAGTACTTCCTGTGGAGCATAGAGAAATCCGGCCAGACGCATGCGTTGACTGAACAGGTCAAGTGTGCCCTGGGGCGTCTTCCTCCAGTGCAAATTAACAAGGATGGCTTAATTCAGGAATGGGGACTGAAGGACTACGGTGAACACGAGCCGGGACACAGGCATGTATCCCACCTCTTCGGCCTCTATCCCGGAGACACGCTCTCAACACCGGAAGAGCGTCAAGCGGCAAAGAAGGTCCTCGATAGACGAGCCGCGCACGGCGGTGGCCACACAGGTTGGTCGCGCGCTTGGCTCCTGAACCTACACGCGCGGTTGCTCGATGCCGAGGGATGCGGGAGGCACATGGATCAGCTCCTGCGCAGCTCGACGCTGCCCAATATGCTGGACAACCACCCGCCGTTCCAGATCGATGGGAACTTTGGCGGCTGTGCAGGCATCCTGGAGTGTCTGGTGCAGTGGAGGGATGGGGATGATGGTTGCCTGTTCATATGTCTGCTCCCTGCGTGTCCGAAGGAATGGTCCCGCGGCGAGTTGACGAATGTGTGCATAAAGGGAAACTGGCTTGTCTCGTTTACATGGGAAGAGAGTAGACTGGTGGGCCAAGTCGTCATCCGACGGCTTGTTGATGATGACGAGACGGCCACATTCGAGGCTCATGGCACAACATTGGGTTCTGTCCGAGCGAAAGGCGAGCACACTCTGTCGGTGGGCGAGACGAAGTGACGAACTTGGCCGGTAGGGCTGCACCTGAAATTCAGCTTATGTTCGCGGCCGTGCATCGTGGTAAGATACATGTGCAGCCAAATGCTGCTCACCCCAGGCAGGGATTGCCTTGGAGCGGTGAGCTGACGCTCGGATATTCAGCGGTCTCCTGGCAGGTGCATGAAAAGGCGGTATACTCAACTTATAGACTTGGTAATAGAGACTAGAGGCGCAAACATAGAATGAGAAGTTGTTTATGACACCTATAATTCAGAGATTGCAGCACTCAATCGGGTTGTGCTCCATCTAGTTAATAAATAGATGGGCTAAAACGCCTAGATGTAGAAATTCTTTTAAGAATAGGAAAATCTGAAAATAGGGTTCGCCACGATATCATGTAGCTCTTATCCACAGATTCACGATTGTGACCTTGGGATAAGCACGTCGTCTTGCTCTAGATTCATCTGAAGTACAGATGTAACATTTGACAGGGTCTGTTGCTCAAAAAAGTCGATCATCCATGCCTTCGAGAAGATCCAAGCTCGAACCAGCGTATGCAATTTCAGACGCACTGTGGCGACGAGGCTATCATTTCAACTTGAAACATGTTCAAAATTTAGTCGAAGATGAATCAGAAGACATCAAGACAGGGTGTCGGGTTTCTTGAAGCTATTTTGGGATGATTGATCAGTTAGTGATATGATGCAGGTTCATGTTCATTTTCATGTGGCAGCAAACGCACGGTTGCCCAGTGACAGCGGCCACACCCAAAACGGCTTAGCGCCATGCCAGCACCAGGGGAGGCGCATGCTAAGCGCAGCGCAGAGTGTCAACAGGGAAACAAAGAATTGTGAGGTAGCTACGCTAATTAAGGTGAGAAGGGTCAACTCACATAGGGGTGGGAGGGTCTGTTTGTTCTCCTTCCCACCACCAACACCACCGACAACGCCGACCGACAACATCGCCAGATCCGCCACGACGGCGACGGCGACTTCGACACCGGCTTCACGACTGCCGCGCGACAAAGGTAAGAAGGTAGGTAGTTCTGTCGACAAGAGCCGGGCATTACGACGTCTGGCGCCCCCGTAGCCAGTGGCCCCCTCTTCCAATCAGTTCTCCCGATCGCGACTCAGGGCCCCAATCTGCAACGGTGCGCAACCTAACCCCCTCTTCGTCGCATGAACAAACGGCGGGATGGCTGATCTGACTGAAACAGGATCCCGCATCATCCACGAGATCCTGCAAACGGCCACGAATCTCTTTGGCGATCATTAACTCACGAGTTTGTCGAAGACTGTTATTTCGACAATAGTCTCATTTCACTTCAAAGTCGCCGACCCGAGGCCCGCCCCTCTACTCCGATATTACCCTAATCGAAACAACAACCACATGCCGCGCTGCGAGCTACAAGGCGCATCGCGATAGATTTTCTTCATGGCCGAGCCACCCTCCTCGCCTCCCAGTGAGGCCACGAGCGCGGAGGATGCGCTTTCCTGGTACAAGTCACAATACGAGCAACTGGAACACGAGCTCTCTGAGTTCAGGGCATCGAGTCATGAACTTGAACAGGAGCTCGAGAAAGACCTCGACGCAGCAGACAAGCGCGAGCGGGCACTGCAGGAGAAGGCCGAGGGCTTGAGCTTCGAGGTCGATGAGTGGAAGGTACGCTGATGATCGCTGCATCTGCAGAATGCTTAAGGTTACGTGCAATTAACTAATAGGGATGCTATTGCAGCGGAAATACAAGGAATCCAAGATCGAAGCGAATGCCGCGCAGAATACACTGGAGAAAGAGATCACGACCCTCCGAGATGCGAACAGGACGCTACAATTAAGACTGCGCGACATTGAAGTGGCCAACGATGACTTCGAGCGCCAGGCTCGGAACACCACGTCGTCCCTTGAGGACCTGGAGTCAAAGTACAACATGGCTATCGAGCGAGCAGTCATGATGGAGGAGGAAATCAAGATTGGGGAGCAGGAGCGAGAACATCTCCGAATCGAAGCACAACGGCTACGCGACGAACTGTCCGACCTGAAGATCGAGGCTGAGATCTTGCAAGACAAGATCAAGAAGCAGGAACAACGGCACTTGTCAGCCATCTCAACGGACCTCTCGGTTCCGGAGAGTCCAACCTTCGATCACAGCCCGATCTCCACGGCGAGCTCGCCTATGATCACTACGCCACCCGAAACAATCGCGACCTCCACCAAGGAGCTCGTCGCCGATATCCACGATCCTCCCTCACCTCCGATGTCAGACGTCTCGATCCCGCTACCCAAGATCGCACCTGCGAAGACACCTGGGTCGGTGATGCAGAAGAAATCTCGTTTGCCATCCGCAGATCACAGCATCACACCGAAGCCGAAGCAGCTCTCCGCATCCATCAGCTCGCGACCACCGGGTGCCCGATCCGCTACTGCCGGAGCATCATCCCGGACGCCTGCTCCCCGACCTACGACCACGAAGACTACGGCTGCTCGATCAACCTCACACAAGATACCACCCTCCACCTCGCTGTCTCATATCCGGTCCCTCACGGCCCAAATGCAACGACTGGAAGCTCGTGTACACTCAGCTCGTTCCAAACTTCCTGCTCCGGTGTCTACGCCGCCTCGCGCATCGCCACGCTCGTCTGTTATTAACTCGTCGAACGTAACGATTCGCTCTAGGAAACGAACCGTTGGCTCTACAGCATCATCCATCACGACGCCAGACGACGCCACGCCTACCAATCACACATTCAACACGAGCACGGCTAGCCAGTCCAAGCATATGCCTCGACTTAGTACGTCAGGTGTCAGCCGCTTGTCCTTTGGACCTCTTCCCAACCGGGGCCCAATAGCAGACTCTGGCTCCGAGATCAGCCGTCCCAGTAGCCGAGCTAGTATCTCTAGCTACGCGCGACCAGCAAGCCGGACAGACCATAATAGGGGCGAGATGGTACCACCACCGCGACCCATGAGCCGTACAAGTCTAGGCGGCGCCAGAACGCCTCTCGGACGACCTCTGAGCAGAAGCAGCCTGGGCGGCAGCATGCATGGCCACTCGCAGAGCGTGAGCTTCAGCACGGCGGAGCTAGACGAGTTCAACGAGGGCGAGCTGCGGACGCCAAGCAGACGTGGCACATACAGCCGGTTTGAGACGGAGAGCGGTGCATCCGGCATACCGACACCGAGCGCCATCCCCATGCCCAGCTCTAGGAGGCAGAGCGGAGGCGGCGCTACGGGACGTCGGACCAGCAGCGGAGCCGGGATGAGAGAGTCGATCGGCTCGAAGCTGCCGTCCAAGCTAACGGATGTCGGGGAGACATACTAAGCTGTCTACTCGAGAAGGGAGGAGAGGAGAGCAATGCATCATCACCACTACTATTACCATACCTACTTTCGTTACCACTATTTCCTTTGTTCATGATATGCCCATTGCAAGGAGTTTTTATGAATTTCTAGCCTTGGATGGTTCTTGGGTGGGCGGCATTTGGCGGGGGGGCTATTTTTCGCTGCAGAATACCACGTTTCTTGGGGAGTCTTTGCAACTCCAAGTTTGACTGACACGACGACTGTACTACATACCTTTACATACATAGCACACACACACACATGGAGGATGAGAAGGAAGAGATGCAGACGGCATGGCCGAGATAGACCCCTGGCGGCATGATTACGACGAGGGAAGGAGGGGAGACTATATGCTTGCGTGCTTGCTTGCGTGCTCGCAGTGTAGAAGCAACAGTTGGAATACGTACTATTCATGAAGCATGCTGTGCGTTTGGAAGTGAAGTGCTGGTGTGAATACGTTGTGTTGTAGTGCGTCTCGTCCCGGTGGCACATGCCTAATGTGGCTCTGATGAGCTTACGTTGGTTGGATGTGGGTGAGAGGGTGCTTCCTGCTACCATCTATGGATGCCAGCAGAGCTTACGAAGTGAGGTGGCAGGAGGAGCCATATGGGTTAAGCCTACTACAACAAGTTAAGATAGACGCTCCAGATAGACTACGGGAATGCAACTGCAGGCAAGGTATTATCGCATTATCACCACAGCCAAGCAAATTACAGATTGTTCTTTTCCAAGTTGTAGATAAGCATTTTCGTCTCCCGTCGAGATAGCTTACGCCAGCTACTTTATTAGTTTTAACGAAACGGAGCGGGCCTGCAGTCCCGGCTTTTGAAAAGCAAATTAATATAGAGACAGCATTAGCCTTGGGCGGTGGATCAGCAATCGGCATCCTGCATGAGATCGATAGCGCGGGACGAGATGCGAGTGAGCACCCATCAGCTAGAAGGGTTCGAGGAGTGAAACCAAGGGATGGGACTCTATCAATGTGTCGCATTCGGCGCGAACATCCACTCGGAATTTCCCCAGTGAATGAAGGGAAGAGCTGGCGAGCTGTGTGTAAATTATCGCTAATTAGGTAGGCATCATACTCGGAGGAGTCTAAGCCTAAGTGCAAGCCATACGTCGATCAAGATCTCCTCGAGTATCGGTGGTGGTACATCCCGCACGTACTCCGGGCCGTTGAACGGTCAGAATTCGATGTCTTGCTCAAAGGTCAAGGACCGAATTCACCGAAAATTTCGATCCCAGCCGCTGATGCAACTAACAAGGGGGAACTAAACCGCGCACGGTTAAGGGACGAGCGAGGAGTTGTTCGCTGTGCTCGTAGCTGCGCTGTATTTTGCAGTACCGGACAAGGCGGACAAGATGTTGGGGATCTGCGGGTGGGTTTTTCGCACCTGCGCGCTAGCAGAGTCGACCCGCGCCCCCTGTTTGGCCTGCCACAATTCAACAATTGGGATTCCTCTCGCCCGGGTTCGCCCAACGCCGGCAATGGCTCTTCAAGAGATGCAGCACCAAGTCCAAGACGATTCTCGAATTCGGTGCAGCAGACAGGCGTAACCAGGTTCCCGGCTAGAGGTGATCAAGGCGGGCGGGGAGGAGGAGACTGTTTGGCGTGACAAGATCTGAAGAGACGTTACTGCCCATCCTTCCGTTATTACTGGAAATTCCGGGGATGCCGCTAAACCGGGACGGGCAAGATAGGCAAGAAATTATGTTGAATTTCCTTCTGTTGAGATGCAGCTGGAGCTGTCGGTGTTAGTGGCGGCGAGTGATTTGTTACCGCTCAGTACCAAGCAGCAGAAATGGATAACATTTTGCATTGCTTTGCTCTGGTATTGCTCCTTCAGAGAGCTCTTTTTGAACAAGAACGGACTTCGTGGGAAGCTGAAGAGCCCATCGTCGATATGCGATGAATGGATGCTTGATGACGTGGGGAGCTGAGGCAGTTGGCATGCCTCGTTTCGGAGTCCGGAAAAGAGATGAGATGGCTGCCGAAGGACTCGGGGACCGAAAATATTGAAGCCACCACTCCATTCGCATGGCTGCCGTCTTGCAGAGTCTCCCCCGTTGTTATGTTGTGTAGAGAGTGAGAGGTGCAGTGACAACTCCCAGCTTATCGTGACACGCCGCAAATGTTGCTCCTGCACGCCTGTTGCATGCGTCCCGTTATCTGTCCCGTTATCACCTAAGAGCTGATGCTGAGATACAATTGTAGGGTGTCTGAGTGGTGGGGACAGAGATCCTAGGCCCTTACTGCAGGCTGACGTTTAGGGTGTCCCAGTGGGACTGCCGCCGTGAGCTTCCCACCCACCGGGCCTTCTCAGGTACCTTAGGTACTGTGGCACCCGCCATGGTCAGTGTACCCAGTACCTTGCCGGGGGCTCCCCAACGCCCGGAGAGGCTCGCTGATTGGCCGAGATGGGATCGTTTGGGTGAATTCAAGGGGGTTGCCGTGTCCCAGTGTCCGGCCACGCGATGGATGGATGGATGGATCATGGGGGGGCCAGCAATTTCGTAATGAGCCAAAGTATATCAGCCTCGCGGATCGCTTTTCTGGGGACGTAGCAAAAAAAGGGTTGAAAAATTCTGGTGAATCTTTTGGGCAATCTTGTCTGTCTGTCTGTCTGTCTGGATCTAATATTACCATCTCTCTTTCTGTCATTCGACACAGACGGCAGGAACCTTTGATTCCCTCCTTCCCAATCTCAAAGGTAGTCGACCACGATCGCCGCTTCCTTCCTGTACAACGCGCGCCGTGTCTTCTTCCTTCCCCCCAACACCATAGCACTTCCTTCCTACCACACCTCTACGGAAGAAGCATTCCGCACGTACACGACCGACTAAAGCATCTGGTAACTATCCCCTGCGCTCAAAGGAGCATTGCTCCAGCTTCATTGAGGTCTGGTCCTTTTCTAACATTGATGCAATTGCAGCTCCTTCTTACATCGGGGAGCAAATTGCGGCGACGCCAGTCTTTTGATAGAATTGGCACATCTACATCTCCCCACCAACACAGCAAGCCCCTTAATCCTAATCATCTCGATCGTGTGCTGGCAACCGACTCGGGCCCAACAAGCTCGGCCAGTACAATTTGATGACGGCATAGACCTTATTACGAGTCGAATCCTCCTCCAAAAATGACCGAAATCACCAGCAATGGGGCTGCCAACGGCTCCAGCCGGAATGGCGTCACAGTGCCCCATGTTAATGGCAAGGCCACATACGCCGAGTTGCACAAGGTGGCCGACCACTTCATTGGCGGCAACAAGCTCGAAAACGCCCCAGCCTCCAAGGTGAAGGACTTTGTCGCTAAAAACGACGGACACACTGTCATTACGAACGTGAGTTGCCCCCAACATCTTTTCCCCTTGGCTTTCTGCGAGAACTGGGGCCAAATGGCCTTAATCTGCACATTTCAAGGTGTGAATTTGGAGCAAGAAGCTAAATGAAAGCAAATTGCAGGTCCTGATTGCAAATAACGGCATTGCTGCTGTAAAAGAGATCCGATCCGTTCGAAAATGGGCCTACGAGACGTTCGGCGACGAGCGCGCCATCCAATTCACCGTGATGGCCACACCAGAAGATCTACAGGCCAATGCAGACTACATCCGAATGGCAGACCACTACGTCGAGGTCCCCGGCGGCACAAACAACCACAACTACGCAAACGTAGAGTTGATTGTGGATATTGCTGAGCGGATGAACGTACACGCTGTATGGGCAGGATGGTAAGTAATCCTCATCATGAGATGCCGAAAATTCTCGAATAGCTGCTAATGATGGATCACGAATAGGGGCCACGCTTCCGAAAATCCAAAACTTCCTGAATCTCTCGCCGCATCACCGAAAAAGATTGTCTTCATCGGACCCCCCGGCTCAGCTATGCGATCACTAGGTGACAAGATTTCTTCCACAATCGTTGCGCAGCACGCCGATGTACCTTGCATTCCGTGGTCCGGAACTGGTGTTGACGAGGTCAGCGTTGACCAACAGGGTCTTGTGACGGTGCCAGATGATGTATACCTCAAGGGATGCGTAAATTCTTGGCAAGAAGGCCTTAAAGCAGCCAAGGAAATTGGCTTTCCAGTCATGATCAAGGCATCGGAAGGTGGCGGCGGAAAGGGTATTCGAAAAGCCCTAACTGAGGATGGCTTTGAGCAGCTGTACAAGGCTGCTGCTAGCGAAATTCCTGGCTCCCCCATCTTCATCATGAAGCTCGCGAGCAGCGCCAGGCATCTGGAGGTCCAACTTTTGGCTGATCAGTATGGAAACAACATCTCTCTATTTGGTAGAGATTGCTCTGTCCAGCGAAGACATCAGAAAATTATTGAGGAGGCCCCAGTTACGATCGCAAAGCCCGACACTTTCAAGGCCATGGAGGATGCCGCTGTCAGACTTGGTAGACTCGTCGGTTACGTCTCGGCCGGAACAGTCGAGTATCTCTACTCTCACGGAGATGACAAGTTTTACTTCTTGGAACTGAACCCTCGTCTTCAGGTTGAGCATCCTACTACTGAGATGGTCAGTGGTGTCAACTTGCCTGCTGCTCAACTCCAGATTGCCATGGGTCTGCCGCTTCACCGCATTCGCGACATTCGACTTCTGTATGGGGTTGATCCCAAAACTTCAACAGAAATAGACTTCGAGTTTAAAGACCCGGCTAGTGCTAAGACCCAACGGCGACCGGCTCCCAAGGGTCATACTACTGCTTGCCGAATCACCTCAGAAGATCCTGGTGAGGGTTTCAAGCCTTCAAATGGTGTGATGCACGACTTGAACTTCCGAAGTAGTTCTAATGTCTGGGGATACTTCTCTGTCGGTACTGCTGGTGGTATTCACAGTTTCTCGGACAGTCAATTCGGTCACATCTTCGCTTTTGGTGAGAATCGACAGGCTTCGCGGAAGCACATGGTTGTAGCTCTGAAAGAGCTTAGCATTCGAGGCGATTTCCGCACCACTGTTGAGTACCTGATCAAGCTGCTGGAGACTGAGGCCTTTGAGGAGAATACCATCACCACGGGCTGGTTGGACGAGCTCATTTCAAACAAGTTGACTGCTGAGCGTCCAGATCCAATGCTTGCGGTCGTTTGTGGTGCTGTCACAAAGGCTCACATTGCAAGCGAGCAATGCCTCGCCGAATACCGAGCTGGCCTGGAGAAGGGTCAGGTACCGTCGAAGGACATTCTGAAGACAGTCTTCCCTATTGATTTCATCTATGAGGGATTCAGATACAAGTTCACGGTGACTCGATCTAGTGGTGACAGTTACCACCTTTTTATCAACGGTTCTAAATGCTCCGTTGGTGTCCGAGCACTGAGCGACGGCGGTCTCCTCATCCTTCTCGATGGTCGAAGTCACAACATCTACTGGAAGGAAGAGGTTGGCGCGACGCGTCTCTCCGTCGACAGCAAGACTTGCTTACTCGAGCAAGAGAATGACCCTACACAGCTGCGGACCCCAAGTCCCGGTAAGCTCGTCAGCTACACCGTTGAAAACGGCGAGCACGTCAAGGCTGGCCAGACATTTGCGGAGGTCGAGGTGATGAAGATGTACATGCCGCTCGTCGCTCAGGAAGACGGATTGGTCCAGCTCATCAAGCAGCCCGGTGCTACCCTCGAGGCTGGTGATATTCTGGGTATCCTCGTCTTGGACGATCCGAGCCGTGTCAAGCAAGCTCAACCTTTCCTTGGCCACCTCCCTACATTTGGTCCTCCGATGATCGTTGGTACAAAGCCTTCCCAGCGGTTTACCATGCTCTACAACACTCTGCAAAATATTCTAGATGGCTTTGACAACACTGTTGTCATGGCTCAGACGCTCAAGGATCTGGTCGAGGTACTGCGGGACCCTGAGCTTCCTTACAGCGAGTGGAATGCTCAGTTCTCTGCGCTTCATGCTCGTATGCCTCAGAAATTGGATGCTCAGTTCACCCAAGTTGTCGAGCGCGCCAAGGCTCGGAACGGGGAGTTTCCCTCAAAAACACTTGCTCGTACTTTCCAGAAATTTTTGGATGATCACGTTGCGCCCGGCGATGCCAACATGCTGCGAACGACACTCGCGCCTCTCACAGAGGTGCTCGATCTATATCATGATGGCCAGAAAGTCCGTGAGCTGAATGTCATCTCGGGCTTCCTAGAACGTTACGCTGAACTGGAGCGTCTCTTCTCTGGCCGCCGCCTTCAAGACGAAGAGGTCATTCTCAAGCTCCGCGATGCAAACAAGGATGATATCCAGAAAGTCGTTCAGACAGTTCTGTCACACAGTAGAGTGAGCGCCAAGAACGGCCTAATTCTTGCCATTCTTGATGAGTACCGTCCCAACAAACCAAATGTCGGCAATGTGGGCAAGCATTTGCGCCGTGTTCTACGCAAGCTCGCGGAACTTGAGTCACGCCAAACCGCCAAGGTTTCTCTAAAGGCTCGAGAGATTCTAATCCAGTGCTCCTTGCCATCCCTTGAGGAGAGGACAGCGCAAATGGAGCATATTCTCCGATCATCTGTTGTTGAGTCGCGTTACGGCGAGACCGGCTGGGATCATCGCAATCCAAGCCTCGACGTACTCCGGGAAGTTGTCGATTCTAAGTACACTGTTTTCGACGTCCTGGCACTCTTCTTCGCGCATGATGATCCATGGGTCTCACTAGCCGCCCTCGAAGTTTATATCCGTCGAGCATACCGTGCGTACATCTTGAAGCAAATCGAGTACCACAGTGACGAAACTGAGATCCCCACATTCATCTCATGGGATTTCCAACTACGAAAGATCGGTCAGTCAGAGTTTGGCCTTCCCCTTCAATCCGCCGCTCCTTCGTCTCCCGCAACTCCCATTTCGGGTGATTTCGGCTTTAAGCGAATCAGCTCCATCAGCGACATGTCATACCTCTCCCGTCACACAGAAGAAGATCCGGTTCGCAAGGGAGTTATCGTTCCTTGCAGGTATCTAGACGATGTCGAGGAGTTGCTGTCAAAGGCTCTTGACAGTCTCCCAGTCAAGCGCAAGAAGAATAGCCTGATTCCTGACCTCAGCGGCAAGCGCAGACCTCAAGTACGCCAAGACAGCTCTGACGAGCTTTCGCACGTTGTCAACGTTGCTGTTCGCGACTCTGAAAGCGATGATGATCACGAGACGCTATCCCGCATCCTCCCCATCATTGAGCAGTCCAAGGAGGAGCTTTTTGCTCGTGGCGTGCGCCGAGTGACCTTCATCCTCGGACGCAATGATGGATCATATCCAGGATACTACACGTTCCGAGGCCCAGCTTACGAGGAGGATGACAGCATTAGACACACTGAACCAGCCCTTGCCTTCCAACTTGAGCTGAATCGACTTTCAAAGTTTAGGATAAAGCCTGTCTTCACGGAGAACAAGAACATCCACGTGTATGAGGCCATTGGCAAGGCAGTCGAGACAGATAAGCGATATTTCACTCGAGCCACGATTCGTCCAGGTCGTCTTAGGGATGACATCCCAACCACCGAATACCTCATTTCGGAAGCGGACCGTGTCATCAATGATATCTTCGATGCTCTAGAAATCATTGGCAACAATAACTCGGACTTGAATCACATGTTCATCAACTTTACTCCCGTGTTCCCACTCCAGCCAGAAGAGGTCGAGCATTCACTGCAGGGCTTCTTGGACCGATTTGGTCCTCGCGGTTGGCGTCTACGAGTTGCTCAAGTTGAGATTCGCATCATTTGCACAGATCCTGCCACTGGTCAGCCATACCCACTGCGTGTTATCATTACCAATACCTCTGGATATGTCGTCCAGGTCGAGGTGTACGCAGAGCGAAAGTCTGAAAGGGGCGACTGGGTATTCCATTCGATCGGAGGTACTACGAAGATTGGCTCCATGCATCTTCTGCCTGTGTCCACGCCATATCCCACGAAGAACCATCTTCAGCCGAAGCGATACAAGGCTCATTTGATGGGTACTCAATATGTCTATGACTTCCCCGAGCTCTTCAGACAAGCCATCCAGACTAGCTGGGCCAAGGCTGTTAAAAACAATCCGGCCCTGGCAGACAAGCAGCCAGCAGTTGGCGAATGCATCGACTTCAACGAGCTGGTCCTGGACGACCAAGACAACTTGGCTGAGGTTTCGAGAGACCCCGGAACCAATACCTGTGGCATGGTCGGTTGGTTGATTAACGGCCGTACCCCCGAGTATCCTCGTGGTCGTAAATTCATCGTTGTTGCCAACGACATCACTTACCAGATTGGTTCATTTGGCCCTAAAGAGGACCATTACTTCAATAAGTGCACGGAACTTGCTCGCAAGCTTGGCATTCCGCGCATCTACCTCTCGGCCAACTCTGGAGCTCGCTTGGGACTTGCCACTGAGTTGATGGCACACTACAAGGTCGCCTTCAATGACGTCGAGAAGCCTGAGGCCGGATTCAAGTACCTCTACCTCGATGAGGAGGCGAAGAATAAATTCGAGGGTGATGTCATAACTGAAGAGATCACGGAGGACGGTGAGAAACGGCACAAGATTGTCACTATCATTGGTAAGGAGGACGGTCTTGGTGTGGAGTGCTTGAGGGGCTCTGGTCTCATCGCCGGTGCGACCAGCCGTGCTTACAACGACATCTTTACCTGCACACTGGTTACATGTCGTTCAGTTGGTAAGTCTTTTGAGTTTCGATGTATGTGTGAAACAGTCTCGCTAACAGTTACATAGGTATTGGCGCTTATCTCGTCCGTCTTGGACAACGTGCCGTTCAGGTTGAGGGCCAGCCCATCATCCTTACTGGTGCGCCTGCCCTCAACAACCTGCTTGGTCGTGAAGTGTACACTTCGAACTTGCAGCTCGGTGGTACACAGATTATGTACCGAAATGGTGTGTCTCACATGACGGCTAACGACGACATGGCGGGTATTTCCAAGATTGTTGAGTGGATGTCCTTCGTGCCAGATAAGCGAAACAACCCCGTCCCGGTAAGTCCGAGCGTGGACACATGGGATCGTGATGTTGTCTACACTCCGGCTCAAAGAGTGCCTTATGACGTCCGATGGATGATCGCTGGTAAACAGGACGAGGATGGCTTCCAGCCTGGTCTCTTCGACAAGGATTCCTTTGTGGAGACTCTTGGAGGCTGGGCGCGGACAGTTGTGGTCGGACGTGCCCGCCTCAGCGGTATCCCGATGGGTGTGATTGCTGTTGAGACCCGCTCTGTTGAGAACATCACTCCTGCTGACCCTGCCAACCCCGACTCTATCGAGCAGGTGTCCAACGAGGCCGGTGGTGTGTGGTACCCTAACTCCGCCTTCAAGACTGCTCAAGCCATCAACGACTTCAACTATGGCGAGCAGCTTCCTCTTATGATCCTTGCCAACTGGCGTGGCTTCTCCGGAGGTCAGCGTGATATGTATAACGAGGTCCTCAAGTATGGTTCGTTCATTGTCGACGCTCTTGTCAAGTACGAACAACCTATCTTCGTGTACATTCCGCCTTTTGGCGAGCTCCGTGGCGGTTCCTGGGTCGTCGTTGATCCAACTATCAATCCCACTGCCATGGAGATGTATGCCGATACCGAGGCTCGTGGCGGTGTCTTGGAGCCTGAAGGTATCATTGGTATCAAGTACCGAAAGGACAAGCAGCTCGAGACGATGGCGCGCGTTGACCCCGTTTATGGCAGCCTCAAGAAGCAAATGACCGAGGCTCAGAGCAAGGGTGCTTCTAAGGAGGTAACCGACGTCATCAAGAAGAAGATGACAGAGCGTGAACAGCAGCTGTTACCTGTCTACAGCCAGATCAGCCTACAATACGCTGATCTTCACGACCGAGCTGGTCGCATGAAGGCCAAGGGTGTCATTCGCGATATCCTAGAATGGCGCAATGCCCGGCGCTTCTTCTACTGGCGTGTGCGAAGAAGATTGAATGAGGAATACATCCTCCGTCGCATGGCTGCTATCAACAGCTCTGCAAAGGCTACTCCGGAACAGCGTGTCCGTCACCTGGCCATGCTACAGGCTTGGTCAGCTATTCCACAATTTGAGACTCAGGACAAGGATGTTGCGATCTGGTATGAGGAGAACCGCAAGGTGGTCCACGATAAGGTGGAGGCCTTGAAGGCTGAGGCTGCCCGCGAGCAAATCGCGAGCCTCTTGGCTGGTAAGGCGGCCTTCTCAGGTGTGCGAGATGTGCTCCGAACCATGCCTATCGAACAACGGGATGAGATTATGAAGTTCTTGCGGGAGTAGCTGACAAGGATGACTTTATGGTTATCTGGTCTGGCGATCATTCGGTTGCCATTGTCATATCATAGAGCGTTGTGTTTATAGGCCTGATTTGGTGTTGCTTACTCATTTGTATTATTTCATGGGTGCATTTATATGGAAATATCATCTTAGCATCTATGTCTTCTCGACCTATGATTTCGCTTGTGAAATGAGACGCAATCCACCGTTGATGCATATCACGGCCCATCGCATCAGAACAAGGAGTTCGACACAAGGAGGTGACTGAGCTCCCAATTGCTCAGAGAGGTGCCTCCGGTTATGTTACTGGTCAGCCACCCTGTCCAACTGCCCCTCCACACCAAGATTTACCTGCAGACAGATCCTACTGGTTGGCGATGAAGGAGCTAGAGCCGGTGCAGATGCATATGTCACAATGAGACAATCAGCAAGGATGCGTCGCCACTGAAGTTGTGCATTCCCAACATCTATCTGCAACTCCAGACACCCGAGCTCCCATCTCCGTCAGGACAGCATCCGAAGACAGACGCGACGCGATGGACGGCATCAAGTCCCTGGCCGAGCTGACATTCGAAAGGTCGCAGAAGTTCCGACCACTGCCGGCGGACTACCGATACAACGTCATCGAGATCGGCGCCTTCGATGACGGCCCCGCCTTCAACGAGTGGCTGGTCCAGGAAGATGACCTGCCGGCCTTCGTGACAAAGGAGCCCGTAGACAGCGACAACAAGACGGCGGAGGCTTCCCTGAAGCTCATCTGCATACCACGCGATGTCGACGTCACGCTTGCGATCTCGAAGGGGACGTTCAAAGCACTATTCGAGGCCATGGACGCTGACCCTTGTGCCCTATACATGATTGCCCGGGACTACGATGGTTTTCATGAGTATAACGGCAGCGAGTCGCCCGTAACAACATTCGTGGGCACGCCGACCTATGCAATTGTCTGGACTTTCAATCGGAAGACGATGGTAACGCGCGGTCTCTTCTTACGGCGCCGGCCAGATCCATGGGCTCCGTTCCGCGACGTGCTAGACACATATCGCTTCTACCTCTTCACTCCACACCTCCTCTCATTCGTCTCGTCGTTCTATATGCTTCGCTTCTTCGACGAGCAGACGAATGAGCTGGAACTGCAAACGATACGAATGATTGAGACGGCAACAGGGTTCGGGAGCGACGAATCTCATCCGCCGCCCGAGCCTGTCGACACGAAGCGGCTGACAAGCTGGGCGCAAGCGACTGCTGAGGTGCAGACTGATCTCTCCAACGCACTACGACACCAGAAAACCAGTCGCGCGCTGCTGGCCCATCTCACGCTCTCGTTCGACACGCATGAGGCAGACGTCGTCCCGGACGCATTCCTCGACCGCTACCACCGCAGCCTGCAGGCGTTGGCGGACGCGGTGCCGACGCTCGAGCGCCACATGGACGTTTTCGAGGACTACGCCGCGTACTTGAAGGACCGGGCCGGGCGCCTGGGCGCAGTGGTAGGTCACCTCATCGCGTCGCACCTCGACATCAGCCTCGAGTTTGATCTGACGGACGCCCAAGCTATCTGCACTTCTCGCCCGCGGGGGATCAGTCGCCGCAAGTCTTCACAGCAGCAGCAACAACAACAGCTTGGTCGAGAGCGGAAGGCGATCTGATCCGACCAGCAGCGGGGCGGGTCGGCCCGCTATCGGGGTCGTGTTCTCGATGTTCTTAGTTGTATTCGCGGCGCTGTATATGGCTATGACAAACGGGATACCGGACTTGAGATGGCCGCAGACGACGACAACGCGGAGTAATATATTGGATCTGTTGCGAGCTCGTGGTGCTAGTAACAGCGGTTGGTTTGACGGACGGTTCTGACATGAATATGGATGTGTCGGCATGCTGTGTTGGGAAGAATTGTACTGTGTTTGGAATCAATAGGATATGCATTTTAGGTTTGAAGGTTGGCTGGGAATGGCGTTTGGGTTGCTCATGGAATTGTATAAGAAAAGAACTACGAGATAGGACCATGATAGTATGCCTTTGCGCTTGTTTGTGTGCGTATACACCGAAGTCTGTAGTACACATCTTCCTCAATTGAAAGTTTGCTACATCACCGTTCTGGCTCAGCACGCACACAATGACCATGTCTGGTTACATTACCTGATGGACCTCGTCGACTAGATAAGTACGAGGTAACGAAGGTACAGTGGGTGGCAATAAGTTTCAATCCAAAGTGAAGTACACTAATTTCGCTAACCACTTTAACTAAGCCTAATCTAGTACTTTGTATACCATCCTTCAGCTTTCAAAACAAACTCAACTCTATTTGACATATTCTCACTAATATTGTCAAGTATCGATTGTTCGATTGAATGCCAGACTTCCTTAGCAGCCTTAAGTAGTAAAAGAAGAGTCTCTTTAGTATCGTTAGCAGTCTCTAACTCTAGATAACTATAATATATTTTAACCTTTATTAAAGCCTAGATATTTTTAATAAGGTTTAAATCAGATAAATAAAGTGGCTAATCTATCACTTTAATCTTTAAAACTTTTAGAATTCTTTTCATAATTCTTATAGTATAAACGAATATATTATCATAAATAAAGATATCTTCCAAATGAAGAAACTTAGGTAAGACAGCTAAATAAAGACAACTAATAATCTAACCAAAGATATCTTATCTTCTTACTTTCAGATTATCTTCAAAAGAAATTAAGCCAGTTCGATAGCTATAACCAAAGGCAGCCTATAACATCTTCTTCACTCCTTTTCTACTATATATTACTTCTTAAACATTATACTATTAAAGCTATTATAAAGAATGATTAAAAGTCTAAATAAGCCTTTTTTCTACCCTTCTTTCTATAGTATATTTGTCATTCTACTTTACTTTCCTTTAATCAGCTTTTGTCACAGGTTGCAAACCCTACATGATGGCTTCAGCACCTTTCAGCCTT